GTAAAATAACAAATGAATCCGTAAAAGAAATATATTATTAGGATTATGGGAATGCATCTGTTTTAAGTTACACCATTATGAATAGATAATGAATGAGATATAGTGTTTCCTTTCTCCCAGTGTATTAACCAATACTAACACCTGTGAAGACAGTGCCACCTGCTGGTTCAATGTGTAAAGTATTACAAGGTGTGACCACCAAATAAACCACAGTATTTTGTTAAGAAAGATGTCACTTTATTGATCACATTGGTTGTAAAATAGAGACTGACATTAAAACCTTCTTAAGAACAGAAGAGATCATCTTAATCTTGAAGTGTTTTTGTAAAAGAAGTTATCCCCAAAGTTATAGAAACAGGACAGTCTAGATACTAGTCTCTCTGTGGGAACATTTTCTAGTTTAAGACTTGTGTCCTGTGTGCAATTTTTGAAAACAGCCTCTAGCACATTGTTAAAAATAACAAATACAACTTATCTCACTTTGGCCTGACAATTTTGTCAGCGGAGAGAATTTGTCATTATACAAATATGTTTAAAATGTAATATTTTTTCATGTGCATTTGAGAAATCAGAACAAAGCTGTAGAGCAGACTGACTATCATTTCTGCTTGGTATTGCAGTGTATTCATGTGCAATATGACTTTCTCACATATAGTTTCACCTTTAAAATGCAGGCTACTCTAATAACATAAATAATGGCCAGATTCCGTTGAGGTGTACCAGTATTGTGCATACTGAAATGGAATGACGCTTTTATGTTATTAGATACACCTGCTCGTTCTGCTTTTAATGACAGTCATAATGTCTGTCATTAAATAGTTTTGTTGTAAATTTTATTTTGGTTACTAGGTCACCTGCATTAATCTGGTAGAATTTCCCTTAATTCCACAGCCAAATTTAGCATCTATATCTTCTTGCAGGATGCACAACCACTACATGCATTCACCCATTTTCTTTTACCACAGATAACCCTGCAAACAAATGAAAATACAGTCTTAAAAAGGTTTATGCAAGATGAACCATTTTAGCCTGCTCTAATTTTTTTTATATAGAAATGTGCTACAGAAGGTTTGAAAGGTACTTGTGAATGAAACAACACACACAAAAATGCAAAGACTTGTTATCTAACAAAAAATAAATGAAATAATCTGATTCAAAAAACCCGCTGGCTCAAATCCCACCACGCAAATCTTTATATAGAAGGAGTTTACATGTCACACCCCACGCAAACACAATGCTTCTATAAAATGGAAATACCTTAAGGTAACCTGAGAGTGTGTTTGCAATAAACTCAAAAGTATTTCCACCATTAACTTGGCTGCATGAGTGAGTCGTGGCACAGAAAAAGAGCTTAAAGTTCATCGTGCTTGTAAGTGAACTCTCTGGAGGATATGAAGCCGTCTTTGTTCTCATCCTCTTTGGCAAAGATATCCTCCACCATGTTCTCATGCAGAGTGTCGTTGGGAGGGTAGCCGTGACGCTCAAACTCTTTCCTCAGGTATTCTTTCACCTGGGAGATGGGGTGAGAGTGAGACAATGAGTGTGCGTGTTTGAGATGGGAAAAAAAAATGGACTCAAGTGACACTATATTTATATAATGAAATAGAACAAAAATAAAACATCTGAATTGTGTTGAGACTGACAAATATATCCATTTCCAGTTTCATCCTTTTAATTAAGGATAAGTCTAAAATTCTAACACACAGATTTTTCTTTTGTCAAACATGAAATCTTAAATTTTAACTTCAGCTAACAGTTTAGTCCAAATTGCTGTGTAAATTCATCATAAATAAAAACAAACATAAAACAATATATAAAATGGTGCAGAAATTACTGCAAACCTTAACCTACCTACTTGAATCTTTGGCTACACAAAGTGCCAATGAATAGCTGAGTAATTATGTACATTTATTACTGTAATAATAGTGTTTGTATTATTAGACTATTAAAACTTTAAATGTTGTACATCATATTATCTCATTTCTTATTACATCTATTTTTCTGACAAGCCTAGATGGGCCCATATATCAGGTCTATTTACAGTATTATTTGTGCCCTTTTTTAATACTGAGACACCGCATTGAACTGTGTTCAACTTTTCCAGTTAGTCCAGCTCTTCAAAGGTCCAGTGTGTAATATTAAGGAGGATCTACTAACAGAAATGGAATATAATATTCATAGCTGTTTTCATTAGTGTATAATGACCTGAAAATAAGAAAATAAGAGTCATTGTGTTTTAGTTACCTTAGAAAGAGCTATTTTTATCTACAGAGGCTGCAGCTGTCCGCCATGCTTAACCACCATGTTTCTACAGTAGCCCCGAAAGGACAAACCAAACACTGTCTTTAGATAAGGGCCGTTTGCATTTTGTGCGCATTTTGCGGCCACCGCAGTTTCTATTTTGTGCTTGGAAGGGAGGGAAGGTTGATGTCAGTAAATCCTACACACTGGACCTTTAAATGCAGGTGGAGCCGGTCGAGAAAAAGGTTGGCTAATTGATGTTTTCAAAGTAAAAAATGTTTGCTGGGAAAAACATGAGCAATACAATCTTTGTTTTCACCTCTTGCTTGGAGAGCCTCCAGTCATCGTTGAGGTCCATCTCCTGAAAGGACTCATGTGACCTTGGCCCATTTCTGATCTCAAGCACCTCGATGACAAAGGTCACTGTGCTCTCAGGTGGGATCTTACCTGACCGTGGACAACAGCACAGGAAGAGAGGTCAGCTAAAACTGATCACCTGAGGTTTCTGTAAGAAACGACTGGTTTGGGTACCCCTTTGTGAGTGAATGCAGCAACACATTTAAGGTTAAATTGTTAGTAAATAAGTTAGAAACATGGTAATGAGAAGCAAGCATAGGTTGCATTATTAATGTCAAGTCATTCCGGTTGTTGTTATCATGGCAAAAGTTAGTCAGGCACAGAAGAGATGGATGTTATGTGTTAGGGTGGCGTGTGCTTACCAGGACAATGCATAGTATTGTTCACATGCTCCATGTTGAGAAAAAGTGGACTTATGAAACCTTCATTCAGTGTGGGAGTCCTAGGAAGCCATTCAAAACAAGACAAACAAGTATAATATACAGACATGCATAGTATATGCACTAATATTACACATTCGTAAAACTTTAAGCACTTCAGTGGCATTTATCTGTACAGCAGCATGCACTGAAGCTTTCATGCATATGGACAAAACGCTACTGTACCTTTCCCTTCCTTCCCATAGGCCAGGGCTGGAGGAATCACTAGTTTCCTCTTCTCTCCAGAGCACATGTCCTGCAGGCCTTTATCCCAGCCTTTGATCACTTCTTTTATGCCCAGAGTAAACCACACGGCCTGCTTATCACCATGAATGCGACTGGTGGACAGACACAGACACAGAGAGAGTAACAGGTCTGAAAAAGGATGGACTGTCAGAAGGTCCGGCAGACCCCCTTTAGAGACAATAACATGTAGTAACAATAGAAGTGGAGTTCTCCCTCCCCTGGCTGTAAAATGTAAATAATATGTATTTTATTATATTATAGGTTGATGAGTTCTGAGATGAATCCAGTTGGATGGAAAAAAGGGATAAATTATAAACTATTTCATGACAGAATGAAAATAAATAATTCTTACTGACAATTCTATCAGATTACTGATCTCAGAAATTAAAGGGTCAGCTCACCCAAATCACAAAAAACAACCCATTTTACCAGACTTACCCCTACTGTCTGCTCAGTCAGTCAAATTTAACGGGGGGTTTTGAGATATATTTCAGAGATCTGCTGCCCATAATTTGTTCATTGTGCTTAAAGACTACCTCAACACCAGACTTGAAAAGCAGTGTTCTACCGCCTCCAGTGTTAAGATTAATGCAGACTACTGCCACCTTCAGGTATGAAGAGTTATTACCTCTTGTGCTGGTGCAAAACATATGTGCTAGTTGGCCGTTTGCTGTAGTTGGTGGGGTTCTTGTGTCACTTTTTGGCCAAGACACAGGCAACATGAGGCAATGTGTCAGGGCCTACAGGAACACCTTAGTGGGGACTATTTCTTCTTTAGAACAAAGTTCCAGTGCAAAAATTAAAAAAGTTCACAGCTAGGTGTGTGGATTATACCATGGAGTATGGGATGTTACCTTTGTTCCATTTTCCACATACATTTTGTTCTTTCTGTTTCAATTCTTGGAACACCATAGACAAAATCCCATTCACCTCCATTGTGGATGGCAAAAGTTCCAAAATATGTATTCTTGTAGCTTATATATTTTATTGAGGTGTTTAAAGTAATGAGTTGCCAACTATAATGCCTTGCATACATCAAACACCATTGTTTTTGTGCATAACTTAAAAATTATGCAGAGGTACTTAGGCCTGATGTGGTCTAGGCTAAATTTTAATTGAATAACTTTACATTATAGCCCGAAACGAGCAAATAAGACAGAGAGAGGAGCTAATAAGGAAATAAAAAAAGATATATATTAAAAAAATGTATTCTTGTAATTTGGGTGAACTGACCCTTTAAAATGTCTTATCACGTGACATTAGGAGGCTTGACCGAGGAGCTTTAACACGCGCGCAATTACATGACATGGACCAGAGAAACTGAAGAAGAGTGAGTGCAGAACATTTCACCTGCTTAACATAATAAAACAGTAACTATCAACAGGAACTACCTGGAATAATGTAGGAGAACTTCCTCTCAGCCTCTTGGAAACTCCTTCTTACATTCAAACCCACATTACCCGCAGTGTTCAAAGACTGTTAGGCCTTCGTGAAACATACCTGGAGTGAAACATGGTCCCGTTCTCGAGGTATCCCTCATGATGCACCAGCAGAATGTCTCCATACTTTGATTTTCGATGACAGAGAAAAGGTCTGTGCAGAACTTCTATCTGCACCTCGGCTTCAGGCAGCTTCCCCCCGCTGACAGACAGCAGCAGGGTGGAGCAGAACCAGCTCAGCACTGCCAGCAGCATGCCGCCACTAACCGTCCTCAAGGAACAGCA